TCTCGATGAGATTCGAGAACCACAAATAAGTGTAGAGCCAAGCGATAGAATTGACTCGGATATTAACGATATTGATGTCGGTCATATGGTTGGACCACCTGAGTCCAATATTGTTGTCGATCCGACTTTGGATTCTATCGGGACTTCAATTGAGGCGTGTGGACCTCGGAGGTCTAATAGGGAAAGAGTGTACCCGAGAGATTTGGATATCTCGTATCTGAAGATGATGGATTTTCGGTTGTTGTCAATGACGAACCGACATCATTTTCTAATGCCATGTCTTGTCCCGACTCCGACAAATGGCTTGAGGCTATGAAAGCTGAAATGCAGTCCATGTATGATAACCAAGTTTGGATCTTGGTCGATGCACCAGATCGGGTTCGACCCATTGGTTGCAAGTGGGTTTATAAGAAGAAAACCGACATGGACGGTGTTGTGCATACATATAAAGCTCGCCTGGTTGCGAAAGGTTTTCGTCAGATTCAAGGTGTTGATTATGACGAAACTTTTTCTCCAGTGGCTATGCTTAAGTCAATTCGGATCTTTCTTGTCATTGTTGCGTATTACGACTACGAAATATGGCAGATGGATGTCAAAATTGCATTCCTTAACGGGAATCTTTCTGAGGATGTGTATATGACATAGCCTGACGGTTTTGTCGATCCGAATTATCCTGACAGAGTATGCAAGCTTCAACGCTCTATTTATGGGCTGAAGCAGGCTTCGCGTAGCTGGAACATTCGTTTTGACGAGACAGTCAAAGAGTTTGACTTTACTCAAAACAAAGACGAACCTTGTCTACCGCAAGTTTAGTGGGAGCACGGTTATATTCCTTATCCTATACGTAGATGACATTCTGCTTATCAGAAACGATATTCCTACTCTGCAAGATGTTAAATCTTGGCTAGGAAGTTGTTTCTCGATGAAAGACCTTGGAGAAGCGGCGTATATTCTTAGAATTAAGATCTATCGGGATAGATCGCGTCGACTAATCGGTCTTTACTAAAGTACATATATCGACAAGATCTTGAAACGGTTCAAGATGGAGAACTCTAAGTGAGGTCTCTTACCGCTGAACCCTGGCATTTATCTTCGCAAGACATCGGAGTTGATAACTCCGGATGAGCGAGACCGTATGACTCGTATCCCTTATGCTTCGGCTACCGGATCGATCATGTACGCGATGCTATGTACTAGGCCAGATGTGTCATATGCTTTGAGCATGACTAGTCGTTATCAGTCAAATCCTTGTGAGCCGCACTGGATAGTTGTCAAGAACATCCTAAAATACTTGCGAAGAACTAAGGATGCTTTCTTGGTTTATGGAGGATTGGACACTCCATTGGTTGTAAAGGGTTACACCAATGCCAGTTTTCAATCTGATAAGGATGACTTTAGATCACAGTCTGATTTCGTATTTATCCTAAACGGGGGTGCCATTTCTTGGAAAAGTTCCAAACAGGCAACGGTTGCTGATTCTACAACGGAAGCGGAGTATATCGCAGCTTCTGAAGCTGCAAAGGAGGCCATTTGGATTCGAAAATTTATCGAGGATCTTGGGATCGTTCCTTCTATTGTTGATTCGATTGAGTTGTTAAGTGATAATAACGGAGCAATCGCACAGGCTAAGGAACCCAGGCATCACCAGCGGTCGAAACATATACTTCGTCGTTATCACTTAATCCGGGAGATCATTGATCGCGGAGATATTAGGATATGCAAGGTGGGGACAAAAGACAATGTTGCGGATCCATCAACAAAGCTCTTCCTTCGTCAAAACATGAGGTTCATGTTACCGCAATGGGTATTAGATACTTGTAGATACGTTATGAGCAAGTGGGAGACTGTTGTAGTTATGCTCATACGTAGATGAACAGATGTACATTTGTAATAAATGTTTATGAAATAATATGATTATTCGTTTATTATTATATTTGCATGTTCATTAATAATAAACAATATCCCTGTATTATTTGGAATAATACTATATGCCCTAGTCAGTTATTATCGTGGGAACGATAATAAATGAAGGCTAGTGTGACGTGTATATATGACGTATTGGATACGTGCTACAGTCACAGGTGTACGTTTGGAACGTGTGACTGGCTGACCCACATGATGGTCGGTTCATGGTCATGAATCAAAACCGACGTCATTATAATAACTCACTTTTGTCCTTTGACCTGAGATAGCTATTGGTATTCCCCGTAATTTGTTTTGTGTCTTGACATAGTCAAACGTCGCCTTAACACGGTGGTTATAAAGGCTATGCTCAGATGCGCAATGGATTATGTGGTGGGTCGTAGCGTATCAAGATGGGAATTTGTTTCTCCTGATTACGGGATAGATATCGCTGGCCACTCGGTGGTTAATCATGCTGTAAAGTGCTTGGCCAAGCCATAGATGTTGGACATCTATATTAACAGATGATTAATGGACGAGAAAGCGGTCGAATTGGTTAAGGTTGATTGACACCATGTGTTACGTTCGACTGGTAATATATCGCGAGACAAAGGGATATTAGTTCGATGATATTGTAGGCGCAATCGAGGTGATAACTCGGTTTAACATGTGTAGTTGATATGTCTTGCTAGAGGTCACTATCAACGTGTACGGTAAAATAAGATTTTGTTGTTACAACCACGTTAAACGGGGCCTACCGGGTCACACACATAGGGTTATACCGTATTTATATATTTGATATATGTCGGTTATAGACTCGGAAATTTTTTTTCCGGTCCTATTTATTGCTCGGTTATTTTGTCGGTTTATATTCACGAGATTAGTCTAGGTGTATGTGATACATTTTCAGAATACGAGATTCATTTCGTATGACGTAATACATTCATTAAATAAGGTTCATATGAACTTATTTAATGAAGATGAATTTGTCTCTTCGTATTCTAAAACCTATTTAATGAACTTGACTCTTCATTTGCTCTGAGATTTCTATAAATTGACATCAGATGTGAGTTCAGAAATCATCGGAAAACAACATAAACAGAAAACCCGACAAAAGAAAAGTTCCCGAGTTGGAGTACGAAAAGTCTCGTATTGCCTAAACCGACGAATCCCGAGGGTACTAGCATACCGACCCGACGTGTGGATACCGGTAAAGGCGTTCTTATTTGTACGCTTTTTCTTCGTCTCTAACTCTCTGATTCTACATTTGAAGGTACGTTTTACCACACATATTACGATGATACGGCTAGTCTAGGTTTAAATTCATGCAATTGTTGTATATAATTATTCTGCTGCATGTAAATCTAGACAGAAATTATAGGTACGATTAGATCGTTAGGCCTTTCGTTTTCCTTCAAGATTGTACATAGATGTTTCGACAATTTATTACGGAATTCCTAGATTTAACTTGATGAAAATTATTTGAGGTTAATTCCAATTTTTTTTAAATATCCAATTAATGTCTAACAAAACAATAAATCTAAAATCATAGAAAATTAAACTCGCCTATTTGCAAATAGTTTAGTGTACCAAATGTTCACATATATTTTATGTGTGGTCAGTATTAAATTAAAAAGATCACGTTTTCACATATTTTGGATACGTCGGGCGTTTACCAGATCATATATATTTTTAAAAATGTTTTGTTAAGCGAACGCGGAAACACTTAGAACTTCTAGATGCCAAAATTCATAAACAAAATTAAAAAAATATAAAATAATCGGAAAATGATAATTGAATTTTATAAAAATACCTTGCCGAGGGGCATCTTAGAAACGATATGCAAAATGTAACAAAGATGCCAAAGTTTTTTTAGAAGTCCATAATATGTTTAATTTCTTGGACCCTAATATAAAGTATTTAATCTTTGAAATAGATACTTAATTCATATCAAATTCTTCTAAGAGTAACTTACACATAGTAAAGATTAATTAAACCCGTATTCACGTATCTAACCGATACTTAAATATCGGAAATTAAATCGTTAATATTTGATTTTTTGATAAAATATTATTGAGTTGAGTTTTGTCAAGTGACCAAAAGATTGGTGTAATTTCAAGGGTGATTGCAATTGTTATAATGGTCAAAATGTTTGGAGATTATATAGAAAGAATACGAACCCTTTTTTTTTGTGATTTTAACATTTTATTATTCCCAATGTAAACAAAGTTAAGGGCCCTCTCTCTTTGTTTGGATTCTAAAAGGTTTATTATCTTTTTGGTTTGCCCATATTTTATGTTAATTCAATTTGGTACTATTATTGTTATGCTTATTTATTTTGAACATATAATTTAAACCTTTTTCAATGCTAAAAGCAATTACTCTAATAAATCTATATATATTAATAAAGGAGTTTAAAAGATTCTGGTGAAACCACCTCATCATCCTATGTGTCATTTTGTTTAATTTTGATTGGATATTGATTATCAATATAATTTTGGTATTATAATAGACTATTATTAATTGTTACACATCAATAATTTTAAAATATTAATAAATTATTATAATTATAAAAAACTATATTTAAAACTATATTTATTATATAAAATACCTATCACTTTTTAAATTTTTATATTTATTTTTTATATTGATTCTTTTATGTTAATAAAAATAATAAATAAAACATTACATGAAAATTTTGAGATGAATCATATAAAAAAATGTCAATAATTATTATTATAATTAAAAAAATACAAAAATACCAACTTCATTAGATATAAAAAACGGTCATTTTAACATGATCATGGAGTAGACGACAATAAATTCAATTAGTGTTTAAAACTTCATTATGTAAAAAATTAAAACAAAAACAAAAAACGGTGGACGTTACACTTTCTAATTGATTCCATATTGATTAACCCACTAATCATCTTTTTAACGCTCCCATTACACTTTCTTATTGATTCAAATATCCCACTAATTATTTTTATTACATAACATTTAATATTTATTTTTTTCTATACACTTAAACGTCTGTATTCCTATATAACACCACCCAATCAAAAACGATTCAGAGTCACACCACCGGGTATCCACGCTTTCGCACCCGCTACGTCGCCCAACAACCACGACTTCATCGCGGTTGCCACTCGGTGACCCGGCTCGGATATCCGCCACGTAGAACTGTTCGACCTGAAAAGGAAAGATTTCATCGAGTTGACTCGTCTGGTGTCGCCAAAGAGTCACCATTTCAACCCGTTTCTCTCCCCTGATTCGACACGGGTCGGATACCACAGTTGCAGAGGGCAGGCCAACGGACAGACAACGTCTTCGCTTCTCCTCGAGAACATCAAATCATCATCGCCCGACCTTTCTCTCTTCAGAATCGAAGGTGGGTTCCCGTCGTTTTCGTCGGCCGGTGACCGTATCGCATTCTTCACATACACTGGTGTCTACGTCGTGAACGCTAGGTAAACTAATTTTACCAACATTGCCTTCGTTAAATTTTTCTAATGTAAATGACATTGAAAAAACAAAACAGACAGCTGAAGTTGCCAAAAGACAAGCACGTGTGCGAGAAGCACCATTCCCAGAAAATGCCGCAAATATCCAATTAGCAGAAGCAAGGATGCACGAGTTGAAAGCGAATATGTCAGTTTTTGGTAAAGAAGAGTGCTGTTGTTGAAGCTAATCAACACAAATTGTCTTTCCAAAAGGTGATAATTGTTTTCATTATTAACCGCTAACTAAAATTCAATGAATGTGAATTTTTTGCAAGGATCGGAATGAGAAGTATCACTCAATAAAGTAAAGAGAGAAATTGGTAAGGAGGTGAGATTTCTTCAAGATTACATAACTCATTCCAAATTCAATGGGTAAATTCATGTTTTTCTCTTCAATTACAAGTGGATGTGAGTTACATATTACAACTGTATCTCTGTTTCTGACTTCGATTTTGAAAAAAAAAATGTCTGATCTTTGTATTTGTATGCGGTTGTGATGGATAATTTCAAGATTCAAATACGAACAAAGGAGATAATGCATTTGCAAGTGGAATTCAAGTTTGAAGTTCATTGACAATATAAGAAAAGTGACTATATACATACACACGCATACACCCACACTTATATCTATATACATTAGAAAGTTCATGTATTTTTTTAATAAAATTCAAAATTCATTTATTTATATAGAAGTTTTTGGAAAGTTGGTGAATTTTTATGTAGATATAATTATTATGAATTTTTAATAAATTTAAAATATATGATTTTAAATATAAATATAGTAATACAGATTTTGTGATAAAATATGCTTTAAATGTAATTTATTTCTTTTAAAAATTACATTGTGATATAATATCATTATCTATGTGTCACTTTTTTAATTCTCATTTATATATTAAAATGCTCATTAAAAAATATTCATTAACTATTTCTTTTATATATAAAAAAGGATATTTAATATATCAAAGATGTGATTTAATAAAATTAATAAAATATTTAAATATTTCTAAAATATATATATATATAATGTAAATGAATATATGATTTACGAATATTTATATATTCCTAAATTACATTTAAATGAAAAAATATAATTTATAATAAACTAAAATACTAATTATATAACTAAAATAATTGATTATAGTTTATAATGTTTGAAGGATTATTGTGATTTTCTTAATTCTCATCTAATTATAAAAAATAAACGGTTGTGTATGAGTAAATGGAAAAATTCAATTATATTTTTCATACATTCATTATTTTAATTTCGAATCATATTACCGGAGTAAAAAATCCCGGAAGAGCTCGAAACGCTGAAGAAAATTGTGTAATCGATGGATAAACAGAGGTAAACTAGGTTTTCTGCCTCTGGGGTTCACTGGATGGGGCAAGCGTACTGGTTAGTAGTGGGGAAACAGAAACATTGGTAGCAAAAGTGCCAAGAAATGAGGAAAGGGACTCGCAAGAAAGCAAAGACGAAAGTCGGCAGATTTCATCGCCATTGGAGAGTGCGGTGAGGATGGGAATGAGGGAAATGACAATTGAGAGCAAAACCCTCTTCTTTATACTTTGACCACGAGTCGGCGGAGGGCATTTTCGGTATACATGTTAACGGTCAGAAATTGGGTCCATTGAATTCAAAAACCGGTTAGATTATATGTTTTGCTCGGCTTGGTTATTGAACCGGACTCAATAAATTGGTTCAACGAATTATAATTCTTACTTTTTAGTGATATATATTTATCAAATCCACTTTCTAAAATTGGTTCGTATTTCATCTCCAACTTGAATCACAAATTAGAATTAAAATTTAGAATTTTAGAATTCTTCAAACAATTATAAGGATTACTATTAAACTTTTTTTCAAGAATCCGGAGAAAGGGGTGCATATATTTATATATGGTCTTAACTTCTTCTAGGAAGAAGAAAAACTTTTTAAATTTTAATTAATTGTAATTATTTCATTATTTCCTGAGCCTCCCATCTCATTGATTGCTAAAGATGAGATTGTGAACCACACGAAGCCTTTGCTAATTTTTTTGAGCTCAACCCATCAATTTCTCAAAGTCATCAGCTTTGGTTTCTATGGTTCTAAAATCTAAAGATAGACTCTTAACATATCTATAAATCCCCAATCAAAGAACACCGAATCATATTCATTCATTCACTCATTCATTCATTGTTTCATCTATTTCTCTAATCAACAATGGCAAGAACTTATCTCTATTCCTGCTTCGCCGTCCTCTTCGTCTCGGGGGCCCTCCTGGACATAGTTTCGCCCACGTTCTTACCGAACATCGAAGAGCCGAAGACAGTGAAGGATGTGGAGCCTTACACCGTCAAAGTAGTGATGTCATTCGCTTTCAACCTCGAGAAAGAATGTCCGAAAACTCAAGAGTTCAAAGAGTTCTTCCTGAGGCTCAAGGCTTTCTCCAAATACGTCTGCCCCATCTCTCAGGTTCTCAGACGGAGAGGCTCTAAGGATATTGAGTTTGACATGAAAGCCAAGGCTGGTAGCCTCTTCCAGGCCATTTCTTCATTCGCTGCACGTAAAAGCGAATCAAGAGAGGCGGAGATGGCCCTGAAAAGCGAACAAAGAGAAGCCATGAACGTCGTTGGCTCGGTCCAATCCATCGCTAGTAAGTTCCTGAACAGACGTAAGGAGGCCAAGATCGATGAATCCATGGAGCTAACTGAAGAGCAAAAGCAAGCAGTCAAAGACAGGATCATCAAATGGGAACAAGTCATTACCCGTGTCGTTAAGACAATGGTACAGAGCAGCTCACAATCTTCATCTCAGTCTCAAAGCAGCCACAGTTCTTCCGTCAACATCAATGGAGGCAGTGAAGCTTCCATGAATGCAGAGAAAGGAGACGAAAAAACTTCCGGGAAGGCTCAGACGACAGAGACACCGAGAGGAAGCGCAGATTCCGCGAAAAAAGAATCATCAAACGCCGATTCCTCGAAAGATGCATCGGTTGAGGTTAATGGAGACAAAGATTCTGCTAAAGATAAGACAACAGATAACAAAGGAGGTGTCGAAGGATCCTCCAATGGTAACAACACACTTGATACTAAAGGAAGTGGTGAGGCCGTTGCTGCCGAAAGTAGCAAAACGGAGAGTAAAGAAAGTGCCTCAAGCATTGATGGTAACACTTCCGACCAAGTGATGGGATTCATCATAAACCTCGAGAAGAAGTGCCCGCAGACTGAGGAGTTCAAGTCCTTTTTCGAGAAGATGAAGGTTTACATGAAATACGCATGTTCCATCTCCTCAACGGCTGCCAAGAAAAACCCTCGATCCTACATGTCTGAGATGATAACCATAGCCTCAAAACTCTCTAATGCCATGCAACTCGTCCAATCCAGGATGAGCAAATCACAAGAGGTGAGCTGCAAAACTTTGACAAGTGAACGAACTCCATGATGTTTCTGATGATAATAGTAACAAAGTGTTGTTTTATTTCTTGTGTGTATACTGCAGACGAAGAACGCCATGCAGAGCTATCAAGAAGAGATGATGAAGACTCTGAACGCATTGCAAGAAGTCACCAAAAATGTGGTGAAGGAGAACGAGAGCAAGCAAGAGGGAGCGGTCACTGTTACACAAACCCAACAGAAAGTGTTCAAGGAGACAATCACAAGGTGGGAACAAGTGACCACCCAATTCGTGGAAACGGCCGTGGAGAGTGAGGCGCAATCTTCCACCAAGACTCAGTCTTCCTCTCAGTGACTCACTCAACAGAAAGGCCGATGAGGAGTGCTGAAAGTTCAAGCCTGAAGTCCGGGCCAAACCCGAAAAAAGTCCACAGGACTGGGTTTCGGGCCTAAGATTTTAAGTCTACACATGTTTCGGGCCGACCCACAATTCTCAGGACTTGTGTCGGACTCGGGCTGGGCCGGTCCGACCCGACCATTTTGACACCCTATGTTCATATGTTACTATTCCAAGATCTTGACAAACATTATTCATTCAATACAACATCTATCTTATCTAATAATAATGCCAATAATTTACTAAATATGGTGTTGGTAGTATCAATTAACAAATATAAATTTAAAAATAAAATGATAGCATTCGATAAATGTAAAAAAATATCCATTACATCTAAATTTATAAAATTTTATACTAAAAAATTCATAAATTATTATTTCTAAATGCATTAATGAAAAAGATGCAAAGAGATATATGGTCGAGTCGGGTATCCTAATTTCGGGTATCCGACTAATGTATAAGATGAAATCGGGTTTAAGTCTTAAAAAAGTCTGAGATTAGGGTAGTTAGATTCGGATTCGGGTATTACCTGCGGGTACCCAAAAATCATAGATTTACAATTTCATCCTTATATTTTGAAAGAATAACACTAAAACCTAAGATTAATTTTACATTGCTCTCTCCTACTTTTTTTCCAGAAGCCGTCTCCCACTTCCCCATTCCATCTCGCTCCATTTCTCTCCTCTCTCTCTCTCCACTTCTTTATCTCTCCTTTCTTCTGATCGTTTTCATGTGCACGTACTTCTCATTTCTCCTTCATCTCTAATCTACTTTAGTTTCATATGGTTTTCGAGTCAGTGTGAGTTTGTGAAAGAATTACTCTTAGATATTTTTTGGCTAATAACTTTCTTTGTTTTTTGATTATCTATGACATCTTTCATAAATAATTAAAATATGATGATTTTGTAATGTTTTTTTATGAATATCATTTATATTTTTTATAACTTGGTTAAAATTGAAAATTTTATGATATTTTTCTTAATATTATATCTGATAAATTTTATATTTAAATTCCGTGTTGGGGTATCCACGGATACTTAAACATTATTTCGAGTACCCGATTTTTGGATACCCGATCAAAACGGTTGCGAGTTTGGGTTTTTAATTTATATGATTTTTGGGTTCGGATTCAGGTTCTGGTAACCATAAAATCGCGGGTACCCGACCCGTTCCCACACCTAGCGTAAAACGTACAATTATATTGATTAAACATGCGCTTCATCATAAAAAATATATAAATTTACATTGGCAAATTTATTTAATACAAAAATAATTTTATAATATAATAATTTATTGATATTTAAATTCTTTCATTTCTTCGTTCCTTCGTATATATATATATATATTGATTTCATAATATAATTTTTGCTATATTCATATCAATAAGTTTTCATAACAAAAAGATAAATATTTTATATTACTAATAACAAAAATACCCCGCGCATCGCGCGGGTCTCTCCTAGTCTCTTACAATATTCCGATTAAATGCTTAAAACAATTTCCCAATGAACTTTACTCAATATCAACAAGTTATTGAACACATGATTCAATCAACG